ATTGCAATCACAGGTACCTATTCCAACGTACTGTCTTCCTCTGACAAGATGGCTGCTAATTCATCATCACTGTTGTGTTTGGCAGAGAAGCTTTACGAGAGCGAATGTGGAGGAAATAAATTAGAAAAAAACTCCCCCGTGAAACATAAATAAATTTGTCACCACAAACAATGCTGCTGCAAAACAATGTTTATACTGGAGATTGCAGGTTATACTATGGCCGATTCAGAAGACAGTCCTTTATGAGAGCAAGAGGGTGAGAGAGAGAGTTTAATTTCAAGACAAAATTAATCGGATGGCTTTAATAAATGTCTTAAAAATGAAAATGTTTAGGATATGATTGGAGCAGTTGGATACATGACACACCATGGTGACAAACATCAGACTGCGTGACAGTTTTATTGACTGTTTGTCGACCCTGATTAACTAAACATTTGTGAAGATTTTGTGATGATGTACTGTAATTTAGCCAGACAGCCATCTGTGAACATTACCCTGCTAGACTGACACATATTGTAACACAACTAATCTAAACTTCACATCAGAAAATTGTCTATTTCTTCTGTGAAATTTGGTTTCTCACTGGCAGACCCGTATCTCACCATTTGTGGCAATAAAATGGAGTGGCCTCTCTTTTGTCTCATCGTGCAGTGGTGAGTAGATCACACTCTATGAGGGTAAAACTAGTATTACTGCAAAAAGGTGGTAATTATAGTAAGACAGGGTGTATCTCTTGACGGGAGATTAAGCTATTAGTGTGATGTTTTCAATAATATCCCCCAAGATCTCTCCTGTGAAGTCGCTTTACCTCCGACTTGATCTCCACTCTGAAGCAGCAGGATTAAAACATGCTTTTCTATAAGTATGTACTGTAACATCCTTGATGAGGCCATCCCCTAAATTTAACTCCACCAAGGAGGTTATGCTTGTGGTTTCATGTGGGTGCTTATTGGTTAGCAGGGTTATGGACAAACGACTGGATGGATCATCGGCATACCTGGTAGAGACATTGGTGGGGACCAAGCCTAGAGGTTAGAAGATTTTGGTTGAAAAAGGTCAGGATCACAAAACAAAATCACAAAAATCCCTATCTTTAACATGGGGCAAAATTAAAAAAAAAACATATCTATTTTAAAAATGATCGAAATCATTTGAAATTTGACACATATGTAGGCTGGCAATGTTCAGGTAAGATGCAGAGTGTTCTGCCCTCTATTTGAGTGCATTTGGTTTGTTTATTGTGAGTCATGCAGCACTGCCCCCTGTGGGTTATACGGCAGCAGTAATCTTGAGAGAAAGTTAAGTCAGACTTTGTAGCCTGCAAGGTTTATGTTGCGACAATCCGTTACTTCTCAGCATTGTGTCTTGGACATCATTCGTCTGTGAGTATTGTTTAGCTGTTCTCTAGAAATTATGAGGAGGAAGTGTACTGTGATGAGGTTTGTTAGAACTAATATAGTTATGAGCCTATTATTAACACTGCTAGCTGTTTAATTCGGTAGGCTATGTTGAGCAGTGAGACTGTGTTGTGCTAATTTCCGTTTGTCGTTTGTGTTTTGTTGCAGTTTACAAAAAATAAATAAAACAAAGTAATTCACCAGTGAATAACAAGAAACGTCACGCCTTGGTTTTATTGGGGAATTACACCCTGTAAGCTGACCGTCTAGCTTTGAAGACGGACTACTCATGGCGAGGACAGTACACAGAGTATAACTGTCATACACTAAAAGATTACTTGGATCCGGTCCGGATGGACGTATGTTGTGTTCTTCTGAATCTCATTTTTCACAAGGGACCCATTTGCGTGAGCCAGAGTTGTAACTTGGTGGAGGCACATGCGCTCTCTGAGCTCTCTTGTTTACAGTACTTTAGTTTATGGGGACACTAAAGGCTGATGTAATCTGTTATGTATTGTTTTATAGGTTTGCTTTATGGTGTTTATGGTTCCTTTACAAATATTTGTGCTGCTGTTGTTCATACACAGGCATAGCATTGTTTAATAGAAACGTTTAAAGAGAGAGATCATATCCCTTGGCGAACAGTCTTGTGAGGGCTGTCCAGGCAGTGCACACATTCCAATGTAGTGCTGAGGTGAAATGCTGGATGGCAGTGTGGTAACAACAAAGTGCTGTTATGTCTGTATTTTGTAGGCAAGTTACCACAACAGTAAGTTTACAGTTGTGTAGGGTAAAGCATAGAATTGTGGGTGAAGTGGGAAGGTTAGCAATATTGTTTGATAATTTGATTAAGAGATGATTAGAACTGGAATGAATAGAAATGGACAGGCAGTTACGAACCATTAGGCATTGCACACATTATAACGTAGTGCCAAGACAAAGTGCTGGATAGCAACAGTGTGCTGTTATGTCTGAATTTTGTAGAAAAAATAGAAAACTCCAGTTCACACTGAGCCCTTATTCGAGTGTGCTACACTTAACACCACTGCAGTTTCCAGTCTATACTCTCCTTGTTGGCAGTGGTTTTCCACCAGCCACTGTCAGCACAAGCAGATCCTGGTTGGGACCAAACTGCTGTCTCTTTAATCGGAGATATCTTTCATCTCGGTTGGTTTCCTGCTGTGTTGAGTTTAGTTTGTCTGCAGTCTCCAGTCCACCTCCCTGTCTCTTGCTGCTTCACAGACACTGACACTTACAGTTCTGACTTTCAGCACTGAAGCGGGCTCAGTCTAGCTGTTTGCTTTCACTGTAGCGCTCAGAGTCATATAGACAGACATGGGCGAGGGTTGGTGTCTGTGAGCCAGTATTATGTTCCTAAATGTGCTGTGGTGAGATGCTGATAATGCATTTAGATATTAGGCTGCACTTTTGGCAGAGTATCCATCCTATTTTCGACTGTTATTCTTCCATTAAAAAGGGAGGATGAGAGGATTATTATTCTGTCTCAGCCACACTTTACACCAGCAGCGCTGCAGTGATTGAGGATCTATGAGGATTTCCCTGAAATGCAAATGCTGCAGTCTGTGCTGTTGGTTCCAAAAGACAGCAACCTGTCCACCTATCTGTTTACCTTTCTATCTGTACATTCAATCAATACATATGATTTAAATGCCTACACAGAAGGAATAAAACCTCCCTTATAAAGGCAGTTTGTAGCTGCTTCTAGAGCCAGCTACACTGGCACAACATTTTGTTTTGTACTTTTGAAATATGTGATCAAACCATATGTGAATGAGAGCATTGTTAAAGTTAATTGGAAATGGTAAGACCTTCGATCAGTGCTGCTGTTGTTTCTCTTTGAATCTGTGAACGTTAACTCACGCTCTTAAGCCAGGCACCAGCCATTAGCTATTATTAGTAATTCCTTCTAGGAGATCTAATTAGTATTATTAATCACTGTCTTTATAAACAGTAGCCTGTGTGACTAGGGAGCTTGCAAATGGACTAAGATATTTTTAATGAGCCTGCAAGATCAGTCAGCTGATTATGGCTGTACTTTCTTAAAATGTAGTATATGGAACCTTTTGTGTGAGCTTCTGATAGGTCTGTGGGGTAAAACAGTGTGTCATGTATCTTTGAACACAGACCCCAGCAGGTGATTTTACATACAGTATGACTTCTTACTTGCTGCTTGAAGGTTTGCTCATCAGCCCTATCGCATGGTATGAGAGAACGACAGGAGCCTTAAACTCATTCTTTTCTAAATATACACATTTAGTCAAGTCATGGGTTTCTTTACCTTAGAAAAATCTGCATATTTTTTATACACGTTAAGTAAAGATAAACACACTAGGTAGTCACTTTTTAAGCAACACTGTCTGTACAGGATGGTTTGATAGTCTTTTCTCCTCCCTCCACTTTTAACTTACATGGTTAATATACACTGTCAGCTCTTGATGGAGCAATGATTATCTCTGCGCTCGAGTCACTCCAGCCGTTTACTACATGTCATCCAGTTTTATAGAAGTAAAACACATTTAAGACTTACATTTTTTTTCATTATCTGACGTGCCTTAAGCAGTTTATCTCACTCACTCCTCCTAGTCAAACTAATTACTTGGACCACAACTTATTTTATCTTTAACCAGGTTTTACTCATGAAAGACAATCAGAATGCAGCATAATGGATGTGACAAATTAGCAGGGACTACAGCCAGACTGAAAGGACTGGAGCCAAGCTGCATCTGTCTGTCACTGTAGGTCAAGAACGGCACATAAGAGATGGCGAAAGGGAAAAGTTAAACAACAGAGACCTGCTGTTTGTGACAGCTGCACAAAAAAATGAAACGAGAAGGGAGATAGAATAGTGGTTAGCACAAATTTTTGTCCTTTGTTTGCTGTTCAGCTCTATGATATTTGGTATCTGTCTCTAACTTTCTGTCACTGCTGAGCTGGGAAGGATGATTGGCACAAATAGGGTTAAGGGGGCACACCGACAACATAGTCATAAAATGCTCAAAAGTACAGTGTAACTTATGAAAATGCTTCAGTTTTAGATCTCAAAGGGTCAAATGTACTTGCATTGATTTACTGGATAAAGTCAGTTAATATATTTTATATATATATATATATTTTTTTTTTCAGTAAAGCGCCATGGAAGCCTGACTTTGATTGATGTCACAGATGTCATGGAAATTTATGAGATGGAGAGATATACTATGACTGACAAAGGACTCTTTCACTATAGCTTGTTCTCCTACCACTTGTGTGCTCTTATTTCTAAATTGTGATGACAGAAATGTGAAACTAGTGCACATAAATATTTGCTCAGCAGTCTGCTGACTTATCAGCCTTTTCTTTATTTATAGACTGTGATCTCTAATTGAACCTGTTTCAGTTTATTCACACAATATTTTGACAAAAATCATTGAAGAGCAAGAGGATAATCTGATATTGAAAAAAAAAAACTTGTAGACATTAAATATCATTACTAGGCCATTTATTATCTCTTTCTTTAAATAAAACTCCATAACTCGGACTTCATCTCACTTCTGAGTGGACACATACAGCGTTTAATTACGATTGTACTTGTGTTTTTCCCAGCACTAAACCATCAGTGGCTCTCACTAAATCGCTGTGGCTCACTGTGGTCAGACCAGGATGGAGGAACAAGAAAACATCTGGATGTTTGGGTGACATTTGATTAACTTGCAGGTGAAATCCTGTGTGTGAAGATTTTCCATTTCTTCATACTGTGTGTAACATTGATCCTATGTTATCTAGTTTGTGTAAACAGTTAACCGATGAGCTGTTTTCTTTTTGCTATTGGTGGTGGTGACAGATCTCATAGGAATTTAGCACCTTAAAAAAAAAAAAAAGCAAAGCCCAGATTGGAGTGGCTTTCATTTTGGCTGCAAGACAGACTAAAGCACAACAGTGTAGGTACATAAACAGTCAAATATGAGCAGGAATTTGGATTTGAGCATGACGACATGCAGTGTTAACATGCGGCGGGGAGCGTTTACAACTCTTGTAATTGTTGTGACCATTGGCACTGGCACAGTTTGTACGCAGCCAGGTGCATTTGTGCTCAACTTGGACGAGAGGCTGAATACATTATTAGTGGGAAGAATGCATCATGAGCAAGTGGAGTTTGGGCTGGCTTTAGTAATGGCTAATCAAACCAGCTCCTCTCGTCCTCTTTAAAAGCACAGTGGAAACCTGTCTTTGACTGGGAGAAGAGTGTGTGATACTGGCTGTTTGTGTTCGAGCATCATCGCTTGTACTCGCTTCACTGACCTTCATCAGGAACAATGCATCAAACAGAACCACCCAACCATATACTGTATATATGTAGAACAAGGAAGTGACCCAGGAAACACCTTCCAGTCACAGGACAACAAACACCTGGCCAATGCACACAATCAGGGTCAGTGAGCTCATTGTCATAGTACATAATGTGGAGCTCTTATTGGATTTATCATATGATAAAATATCAAATTCTCACAAAGTTAATATTGCCTAGATCTATCATTTTCCTTCAATTATAATTAAAAGGTGTTCTGAGCAGGTGTTACATTATCACAAAATGAGGTCAAAATGAGCACCAAAGTCATACTGCACTGCCTAATCAGCATGAACATGGCCATACCAAACACATCAATGCCCAAATATCAGTGTACATGTTAACATCGCTGTAGCAAAATCATTAGACTTGCACCAAAGAAAAATGTAACCCTGTGTTTGAAGCTACACTGCCTTTGAGCTGTCATGTTTGACAAGTATTTACATAGCTGGTGTGTTAATTAGATCTTGCCTCAAATACTGTATCAGTGTACTTGTTAACAAAAGCATTGTAGCAAAATCAGGCTTTCCTGCTAGAAGAAAGATCAAACATAAATAAAAGTGTAATGGCTAAGCAAACTGAATAACTAAAGTATTCTTCTTTAGTGTGACTCAAACTATTAACACTGTTAACCCTGTGAGCTACTGAACACAGGAAGTTTTCAAACCACAGCTGGAGGCACTGGGATTTTAAAAGCCCTAAACCTCAGCAGTTAACTTATTAAATAAACATTGTTTTGATCTCAGCGTGATAGCTATAAAACTTTTCAGGCTTCTTTGTAAATACAAATTCATCATTTAATGTAGGGTATATTGTGACTGTATAAACATAAAAGTATTGGTCATTTTCACTGCAGCATAGTTGATACTGGCAGTAGAAAATGCCCTGCAGGTCTTCTTTTCTATTCTGTTCTTCTTTGCTATTGCCTTACATAAGGATATGTACATACACATTGAGAGCCTCTGGACCAGAGTCAAATTCCTCGTGCCAATAAACCTGATTCTGATTCTGATTTCCAGGTTTACCAAATAGTCAAAGGAGAAACGCTCACATCCAGTTCCTCCACCTACCGGGTGAGATCTTTCCTGGGACAGGGCACCTTTGGCACTGTTGTCAGGTGCACGAGGATGAGCGACATGAAGACAGTGGCCATCAAAATGATAAAAAATCAGGGCTTTTATGCTGAGGATGCAAAAGAAGAAGTGGCTATCCTGTTGAAATTGAAATCGCTGGACTCAGACAAATGTAACTTGGTTCGCTGGTACCAAGTTTTCCCTGACAGAGGCCACATTTGTCTGGAGTTTGAGCACCTGGACAAAAGTCTTTAAGACTTTATGAAGGAAAGATATTTCTGACCTCTCCTTCTTAAGGAGATCAGACCCATTGTCCAGCAGATCACCAATGCACTCAGTCACTTGAAGGCTGTTGGAATAATGCACGCAGACCTCAAGATGGAAAATGTGATGTTCGTCAACCATCAACAGGAGCCATACAAAGTCAAAGTGATTGACTTAGGCCTGGCCTGTCACATGTCAGCTGCCAAGACAGGCTCATATATTCAGACCTGTCCATACAGGTCTCCAGAGGTTATTTTGGGGCTTCCACTCACAGGGGCCCTAGATATGTGTTCTCTGGGGTGCATGGCTGCATTTTTGTACCTCAGCACTCTGCTCTACCCTGGGATGTATGGATATGATATGATGAGGTACATAGTGGACATTCAGGGTAAGCCACCGGACCTGCTCAACCTTGGATGTAAAACAAACATTTTTTTTGAGAGAGACTGCATCACCAGCTCATGGAAACTAAAGACACCAGAACGGGTCCGCCATGAGACGAGGATCCAGCCGATGGAGACCAGGAGGTTGAAGCTGAGGTTTCTGGATGCCGTTCTGCGTCACAAGAGAATAACTCATGAGGATTATGCAGACTCAGCTGCCAAAATGAACGATGTCCTGCTGTTTGTGGACATGCTCAAGACAATGCTGGAGCTTGATGCAGAAAATTTTCATCCATCCAAAAAGGTCAAGCGCAGGTGCTATGCAAGTCCAGCTAACGCCAGCAGCAGCCAGGATCCTATGGATCTGAGCCACCCAGTCCCCCACCAGAGGGTCATTGCTCACCCCTCCAAAAACAGTCAGACCCAAAATTGGATCAGGTCTGATGTTAAGAAGGCTTCTGTTGAAGGTGTGAGGTGCAGGGATGTAACCATTGACCACTATCGAAGGTTATATTATGAAAGAATGAGAGATGGAAAAAGCTCTGCAGGTCCATCCACATCAGGCAGCAGCACCCAGACCCAGACTTGCACCTCACCACAGACAAGTCAGCTGGGACTGAAGAGAAAGGCAGCTGATGGTGAAGATGTGCAGCCTAGAAAAAGATCCTCTGTACAATTCACCTCTGTACAACAATCAGCATCATTACAACAGAGCCTGTCACCATAACAGGCTCTGTGTACCTGTACTTGTTCCTAGTATCGCTTACTCCAGAGAGCTACGAGTCAGGGATATAATGTTACAATGTTTCAATAAACACTTAATTGATCATTAAGAAGTTGCAGTTTGTTTTGTCAATCAACTAATCATTTCATCAAATGATCTTTTCACCTCTGTTAAAGAGTAAAGTTTAGGAAATGGTGAATAAATGGATGGGTGAGAGAATATTTACTGTATGTTTCTGTCTCAATTACCCAGCAATTTTAACATTCTGGCTTTGGTTCAGCAAGCTAATACAGAGCATGTGTTATGTGTACTATCGCAAAAATATTTAGTTATATTTTGTCACTGTCTTTAGAATCTCATTTCATGGCACCAGGGTGTGCTGTCACTGGTAGAATGCTGTTTGGGCATTTTCCTGTTTCTCCCTATAAGAAGCTTGTATCCTGAATGTAAATATGTTGTGTGTAACTGGACTGTTTAGTAACACTGATATATATATTTATATTTCAGTTGGCTCACTAGTACAAATTCAAAAGATAAATTACTATTAAATCTTTTAATTGGCCCATTGGTGTCAAAACATTATGGGCTCTAGTGACATCAAATGCAATTCAACATCTTCATTAGAGTCACATCAAACTGAAAAATCTATGGGATTTAGATTTTGTATGCTTAAAGTGGTCTGGTCTTTGTGTTATTCTCTCCAGTGACAGAATTAAGATTTTTGCACTGCTTCTAACACGGTTTGACTCATCACATGTACAATCCAACACAGTAACAGAAAAGATGACTAAACACAAACATGACCTTCTGTGAGAACATGTAAGTGCTTACTTGCTCACTGACGCTGACATACCATACACACTTCCACCCAGCCAAGCGCATCCTGGGTTTTTGGTTGAGTGGTAGTGTAGATAGAGAAGAGCTGACCTACACTCCCTGCAGACTGACAACTCCCTGAGAGTCAGATGCACTCTGGAGTTTTGCACGGAACAGCAGTCTTTTTAATGTGTGATGATTAAATATGTAGAGAATTTTTTACATTTCTGTGGTACAACAGATCTTAGTGTACTTTTGAATGGTAATGCCAGCTTACTACAGCATGTTGTGATGGTAATAACTACAATAAGTCCTGCATGTTATGTGAAATCACACTCGGGTAGACACAGTGAAATATAAAAAGCAAGTTTAATCCTGATGTCTAAAGCCAGTATATATGCAAACAAAATGTAATTCAGAATGGTAAGTTGAGGTTACTACTAGGCATGTAAGGACTTTGTCATTCAGTTTTGTGCCTTCTCAGAGAGGACTTTAAATTAGTTGCACTAAACATTACATTTGGTTTTGATGTTCTTTTAGCCTTTGGATTAAATGTAATTAAAGGGCAAATGAAGTGTGGCAGAGAGATTAGAAGAATGCCCTCCTTTAGCTCTCACCACTTCCATCGCGCACAGGTAAGAATCTCACCAAATGCCAAAGGCCCTCACTGAATATTAATTAGATTTTATTATTTTATTTTTTTTCCATAGGTCAGTTTATATTTCTATTCATAGTTTTAAAATCTCAAATTACATTGATAAATTGCATATTCAGCACAAGTAGCTCTTTGAACAATGTACAAGCCTCCATGCTAGATATGTGTGTAACAGAAATGAATTGTTTGGTTATGAACAAACAAAGCAAATCTTTCCTTCAGAACTCTGCTGGAATCATTTGGCTTTTTGTCAGGATGTGTCAGGGTGTTTTCTTTGCATTCATGCAGTGAGGCAGATTCCTCCCCTAGCTCTAGACTCACTATTCCACCAGGTGAGCTGCCTCTTACAGTGTTGGCTGAGGACGTGAGGAGATCACTGATTTCGCTTCAATCCCCGAAAAGCTCACAGGGGTGTGGACCGACATTTTCAATACCTCACTCTCACGGGCTGTGCTACCAGTGTGTCTCAAGATGTCTACCATCGTTCTGGTGCCCAGGAGTGCAGCAGTGACACACACGAATGCCTACCGCCCTGTGGCTCTCGTCCCAAGAGTCATGAAAGGCTTCGAGCAGCTGGTTATGGCCCACAGTAATGTCGACTCCCACCAGTACACCTACAGGAAAAACTGGTCTGCATCGGACACAGCCCCAGCTGTCATCCACTCTGCTCTCCCCCATCTGGAGAGCAAGGACACTTGTGTCAGGCTGCTCTTCCTGGACTTCAGTTCTGCCTTCACTACGATCATCATGCAGATTTTAATCAATAAACTGCGGCTGCTTGGACTAACACCATCACTCTGTAATTGGGTCCTAGACTTTTTGACCCACAGGCCACAGACCGAATCTATGGCATCTCGTCCTCCCCAATCATCCTCAATACCGGCGTCCCCCAGGGAATCCTGAGTCCTCTGCTGTACATGCTACTCACATGTGAATGCTCGGCTCAACACCCGGGCAGTCGTATCGTGAAGTTTGTAGATAACACAGCGAGACATGGTACTGGCAGGAGGTAGATCTTGTGGACTGACGCAGAGCAAATAATCTCTTTATCAGCGCGGGGAGGACAAAGGAGATGCTGGTGGACTTTAAGAGTTTAGGACCCCCCTCCCCTCTTTATTGGAGGAGCAGCTGTGGAGATGTCTCCAGCTTCAGCCTGGCCATTACTTCTCTCTGTGCTGCTAATGCCTCGTGCCCTCTTTATATGAATGCTCTGTTTTTAATTATTGCCCTATTATTATTATTTATAATTAGTTTTTGTTTTAGGATTTTAGAATATAATGAATTAGTTTATTATTTTGCCCTTAGTGTACGGTTGTTTTTATTGTATGCAGCCAAGTACGAATTTGGTTCTATGTGTCAACATATGAAGACTAACAATGACCTTGACCTTGACCTTCTGTTGACATTTCTACACATTTATGTGACCTGGATTTAATTTTAATCAAGAAAAGGAGTACAGAACTCAGCATCCTGAAGAACTGGTTAACTCTACTAGAGATCTGTACTCAAAGTGTAAGTCAGCACTGATTTTATTTTTCCATTCAGTTTTTATTTAAGGAACAACTTTCTGAAACATGAAACAATTTCTTAAAGTACATGACAGTGCATTGTTCCTGAAACTTTCTGTGGCAGTGTCCCTCAGATTTGTGTCCTGTCTAGTAAATGATTCATTAACCTGACTGAAAATACGGTAAGGATATTTCAGGGTCACAGGTAAAGAAACAAATAGCTTCCCTCATCCTCCTCTGCCTGTTTACTGCCCTACACACTGAGCATGACACAAGGTTAGGAGGACAGGTGCAACAAAGTGGGTGGATAGTGCAAAGGTTGACATTTTGATAAAAAAGATACTGGGAAAATAGTTGTTTATACAACAACTTGTTAGTGTGGCAATAAAACTTAATAATGATTTAATGAAATCAAGATGGATTCGAATTGCATACATAAAGAGAATGTTTGGTACACACAATAGAAAAAAGGATTAAAAAATGTATTTTTTATTTTAATGACACCAGTGGACACCTTTATATATACCACATACTCCTCAACATGTAGTTGTTAATATCAATAGCAATATTGACTTTGGAGGAAGCTGACCATGGATGAATTATTAGTACTGTAGAATTTCCCACTGGGTAAGATAAAACGTCATCCATACTCCAGGAGATTCTGATATCATTCATGTGGGATTAATTTGTTTTTCAGCGCCAAACCTCATTCAACCTCTCATACTTCCTCTCTTTGGATATGACATATAAAATTAAACATCCATTTTAATCATTGTCACTGTGTTTTAAAGAACCGGAAAAATGTTAGGTGTACAGTGGGTACGGAAAGTATTCAGACCCCCTTAAATTTTTCACTCTTTGTTATATTGCAGCCATATGCTAAAATCATTTAAGTTCATTTTTTTCCTCATTAATGTACACACAGCACCCCATATTGACAGAAAAACACAGAATTTTTGACATTTTTGCAGATTTATTAAAAAAGAAAAACTGAAATATCACATGGTCATAAGTATTCAGACCCTTTGCTCAGTATTTAGTAGAAGCACCCTTTTGAGCTAATACAGCCATGAGTCTTTTTGGGAATGATGCAACAAGTTCACACCTGCATTTGGGGATCCTCTGCCATTCCTCCTTGCAGATCCTCTCCAGTGCTGTCAGGTTGGATGGTAAACGTTGGTGGACAGCCATTTTCAGGTCTCTCCAGAGATGCTCAATGGG